GGAAACTTTAAAGAAATGACAGCTGGTGCCTAGTGTTACCCTATTTTCATTATCAATTCCCCTCTGTAAGAAAAAAAAATACCATAGGGAACTGTGGAAATACATGTAAATTTGGGAGGATTGAAGAATATTCTTTAAACTGTTTGGCAACTGGCAACTGCTAAACTGACATTGATTTTATATTATTACATATTTGAATTGTTAAATTAAGCAACAAGGAAGGGGAAAACTGTGTGTAGCAAACTGACCGTGGACTGTAATAGTAGTTTTTTAATTCTTAAAAGTATTTTAATTATCTTTAATTTGACTAGTAAAGTTGAAAACCTTGTACCTTTTTATTATGTAAAAAAATAGGCAGTGAGCAGAACAATTATTCATTCATTCATTCAACAAATATTGTTTCTGGGCACAGTGGCTCACACCTGTAATTCCAGCACTTTGGGAGGCTGAGGTGGGAGGTTTGCTTGAGCCCAGGAGTTCGAGACCAGCCTAGGCAACATAGCGAGACCTCATCTCTACGAAAAAAATTAAAAATTAGTCAGGTGTGGTGGTGCACACCTATAGTCCCAACTACTTGAAAAGCTGAGGAAGAAGGATTACCTGAGTCCAGGAAGTGGAGGCTGCAGTGAGCCCTGATTGTACCACTGCACTCCAGCCTGAGCGACAGAGTAAGACCTCAACTCAAAAACAAAAAAAAAAAGAAAGAAAGAAATTAGAACCAGTGTCCTTAAAGATAACCTTTCCAATATCTGAAATTAAAAAAATAAAAAACAACCGGGCCAGGCTCAGTGGCTCAGTCTGTGATCCCAGCACTTTGGGAGGCTGAGGCAGGCAAGTGGATTGCCTGAGCCCGCAGATTCGAGACCAGCGCGGGCAACTTGGCGAGATCTCGTGTTTACAGTGGATCAAAATCTAGCCGGGTGTGGTGGCGTGTGCCTGTAGTTCTGGCTACTTGGAAGGCTGAGGCGGAAGGATTGCCAGAGCCCAGCAGGTCGACACTGGGGTGGCCGGGAGTGTGCCACTGCACTCCAGCTTGGGCGACGGAGTGAGACTCCAACTCAAAAAAAAAAAACCTTCATTTTAAAGAAAAAAACAGTAGTCAACGCTCAGGTGAGGACTTACAATTTTGATTTCTAGGAGTATAGGAACATGTGGTGAGTGTTTTCACAGCACTCCAACCCAAAGCATGCTCCTGTGCTGTCCTCAGAAGACGCCAGACTAAAGGCCCTGGAGAAAGCAGAGGACCTCATTCCAGGCTTGCCCTCAAGGGCGGCCCCTGTGTCCATGTGCCCTTGCACAAAGGCAGTCAGAGATTCTAAGGGATTTCCCAGAAGAGAAATAATTTTTTTCCTCATTAAATTTGTATACGGTGCTCAAAGGGCTTTAGGCCTCCCAGAGTTTTTATTACTTTGATTTCTAGCACTTTTCAGAGGCCCAGCTGCTCGCTTCAGGCTCATAATGCTCTGTGGCCTCAGGACCTGTCACAGCAGAGGGAATGGACGTAGCAGTGCTCACAGGAGGTGCAGGAGGCCAGGCCCGCCATCAATGGCTCTCCTGGTTTTCGCCTGATGGCAAGGCCTGCCTCTCTATCTGCCTTTTTCTCCAAAAGAAGCACATCGTAATCCATCATCTTGCTGGCTAGTGGTTCTTCCCTTTTCTCTTTGCTTCATAGATTATATGATACTTTTGCTCGCTTTATAAAAATGGGCCATTGTCACAGAATTTTGAAAGCTTTCCCATAAGCACTTATCATCTTTCAACTTACTACATAAATCATTCATTTATTTAGTTCATTGCCTGTTCATCTCCATCAGGTCAAAAGGCCCAACGTGGGTATTTTTTTGTTTGTTTGTTGTTTTTATTGTTGTTGTTGTTGGAGTCAGGGTCTTGCTTTGTCGCCCAGGCTGGAGTGCGGTGACATGATCATGGCTCACTGCAGCCTCAACCTCCTGGGTTTAGATGATCCTCTCACCCTAGCCTCCCAAGTAACTGGGACTATAGATACCCACCACCCCACTGGGCTAATTTTTAAAAACTTTCTGTAGAGACAAGGACTTGCTATGTTGCCAGGCTGGTCATGAACTTCCGAGATAAGCAATCTTCCCATCTGGGCCTCTCCAAAGAGGTGGGATTACAGGCATGAGCCATCGTGCTGGCCCCAACATTTTTAAGTTGAGAAAACTAAGGTCCAGAGAGGATAAATGATTTGTCTGTGGTCACATAACTTAATGAGACCAAGGTGATTTCCTGTCTCAAATCCCACTCTTCTTTTCTTTTACTTATTTACTAATTTTTTTCGAGACAGAGCTTCCAGTCTGTCACACAGGCTGGGGTACAGTGGCAGGATCACAGCTTGCTGCAGTCTTGAACTCCTGGGCTCAAGCAATCCTCCTAGCTCGGTCTCCCAAAGTGCCGAGATTACAGGCATGAGCCACTGCGCCTGGCCTTCTTTTCAGTACACATATGATCAACTCTGTAGGGAATGTCCTCTAGGGTGTTTTCATAGAGGGAAAGATTGTTAGTGATTCATCCACACCCTCCTGCTCAGCCACCCTGGATGGGTGACACACAGCTGAGACATCTGCTGTGTCATGTGGAAGGTGTCACACTGGAGAATGCTGGAGGGATGCTCAGGAGACACAGTGCCTTTGTCACTGGCCTTGTTAACACTGCTAACTGCACACATTCTTAAGATTAGAGGGTTGGAGAGTGAAAAGGAGAGGTAAGATTCATGTGTATGACTCACCTGCTCTAGAATGCATGTCAAGTCACTCACCACAAAACGCAAATAGGTTCATATTCACAGGTTCCATATATATATATTCAAAAGCCTGTATGTTTCTATGTTCTAATATTTTTTAATATAGTCTACATTACCAGAAAGAATCTCTTATTTGGAACTCCTATCCTTTTTTTTTTCTTTTTTGAGTCAGTGTCTCACTCTGTCACCCAACCTGGAGTGCAGTGGCAGGAGTGTCGTGGCAACTCACTGCCCCATCCACCTCCTGGGCTCCAGTGGTCACCCCAGCTCAGCCTCCAGAGTAACTGAGATCACAAACCCCCAGCTAATTTTTTTATTTTTATTTATTTATTTTTTGCGGAGGTAAAGTCTCACTATATTGCCCAGGCTGGTCTTGAACTCCTGGGCTCAAGCAATCCTCCTGCCTCAGCCTCCCAAAGGGCTGGGGTTACAGGCATGAGCTACTGCACCTGGCCCTCTGTATCCATTTTTGTTACAGAAAAGATTATAGGATGTCACTGCATAAACATCTACAGAGCCCCATATTGCTGGATGTGACACTGATGATCCCAGGAAACGTAACTGCTATGAACTGAATTCCATATGTTTTTTTGTTTGTTTGTTTGTTTTTGAGTTGGAGTCTCACTCTGTCGCCCAGACTGGAGTGCAGTGGCTGCTCCCGGCCACCGCAGCCTCGACCTGCTGGGCTCTGGCAATCCTTCCGCCTCAGCCTTCCGAGTGGCCGGAATTACAGGCATGTGCTACCACGCCCGACTGATTTTTTGATTTATTGTAGAGATGAGGTCTCGCTGCCCAGGCGGGTCTCGAACCCTCGGGCTCAGGTAATGCAATCACCTCAGCCTCTCAAAGGCGCAGAATTACAGGCTGAGCCACCGTGCCTGGCTATGAATTCCATATGTTAAAGCTCCTGCTCCCTATGTGATGGTACTTGGAGACAGGGTCTTTGGGAGCTGAGTAATGTTAGATGGGGACATGAAGGTGGGTCCTCATCATGGGCTTGAAGCCCTTATAAAGAAGAGACATCAGAGGGTTTCCACCACGTGAAGACACTGCAAGATAGCCAAATACAGCCTGAGAGAGAGCGCTCACCAGAACCCAACCATGTTGACCCCTCAGACTTCCAGCCTCTAGAGCTGTGAGATAATGCATTTCTTTTGTTGAAGCCACCCAATGGATGACACTTTGTTGTGGCAGCCTGAACAGATGAATACACTAACCTCCAAGTACCATATTACTTGTGGGGGCACCACAGCACGGGCACCAGAAACACCGGGTGCTCCTTGCCCCCGTGGCCATATGCCCAGCCTTGGAAGGAGGTCAAGGATCAGAAACAGTAGTGAAAGTTCTAATGCTAGCTTCGGCTGCTATTCATATGCAAGGGATCCAGAAGTCAGATGTTTCACATATAAACTAGAAAGCACAACTGCTCTCCAAAGTAACCATGTACAATTAACTAGCTTCCGTTTATCCCCAGCCTCAGGCAATCTCCTTTGCTCCTGACTAGCAACTACAATAAAGTAATTCTTGGTACTGTTATTATGGTCTAAACAGACTTGGTGAGTTTCCCTTCCATCAGAGGAACCAGGCGTTTTTCACAGACTGACTTCTTGGTTTGAGCCAGAGGACAGTTGCAGTGATAACGCCAAACCTGGGGAACACAGGAAAGAGGTCGTGTACTTGAACCCATAGGCTCCTCTGCCCCCACATCAAACCATACTGACTGCTCCCTTTGCCAGCCCGATTGAGAATTTCTCTTCCTTCCTTCCTTTCTTTCTCTCTTTCTTTCGTAGAGATAATATCTCGCAACATTGCCCAGGCTAGTCCCGAACTCCTGCTGTCAAGCGATTCTCCCACCTGGGCCCCCCAAAGTGCTAAGATTACAGGCATGAGCCACCATGCCCAGCCAAGAACAACTTATTTAATTTATTTATTTGTTTTATTTATTTATTCTGTTTCGCGATGAGGTCTTGCTATGTTGCCCAGGCTGGTCTCGAATTCCTGGGCTTAAGCAATTCTCTTGCCTCAGTCTCTCAAAGAGCTGGGATTGAGGCGTGAGCCATTGCAACTGGGCAAGAACGACTTAAAAACAAAAACAAAAACTTTAAACAAATTCACAAGAAAAATGGTTAAATGCCTCAGTCTTAAATTTACCCTAATTTAAAACATTGATATATTTTTTAAAATCTTGGCTTAATATGACTTAAAAGCTTTTTCCTAAATAAAAACACAGGACTCCTGCGACCGGCGGGTGCCCCAGGCAGTGTTCCCTGTGGGCCTAGCTCCCTGGCCAGTGCCTGGAGCGGGTTCCGCCCTGGAGCCTGATGCTCCCGGGAAAGCAAGGTGGAGTCCCGGGTGCCTAGGCGGACTGGCGCCCACTGCCAAAGCATGAAGAGGGGGTAAGGCGAGACCCCCCCACCAGGATCCCCCGGAACCTTGAGAGAGAGATAACCAGCAAATATCGGGAATATATGTCCGGAGATAAGAGGAGGCCTGGCCTGAAGGTGAACTGGCACAAAGGTTGATCTCAAGATGCCATTGGTGAAAAGAAACATCGATCCTAGGCACTTGTGCCACACAGCCCTGCCTAGAGGCATTAAGAATGAATTGGAATGTGTAACCAATATTTCCTTGGCAAATATAATTAGACAACTAAGTAGCCTAAGTAAATATGCTGAAGATATATTTGGAGAATTATTCAATGAAGCACATAATTTTTCCTTCAGAGTCAACTCCTTGCAAGAACGTGTGGATGGTTTATCTGTTAGTGTTACGCACGCAGCCTGATCCAAAAGAAGAGGAACTGTCTTTGCAAGATATAACAATGAGAAAAGCTTTCCGAAGTTCTACAATTCAAGATCAGCAGCATTTCGATCGCAAGACCACTGCAGGAGACGTATGACATTTGCGAGCAGCCTCCACCTCTCAATATACTCACTCCTTACAGAGATGATGGTAAAGAAGGTTTGAAGTTCTATACCAATCCTTCATATTTCTTTGATCTATGGAAAGAAAAAATGTTGCAAGATACAGAGGATACGAGGAAGGAAAAGAGGAAACAGAAGCAGAAAAATCTAGATCGTCCTCATGAACCAGAAATAGTGCCAAGAGCACCTCATGACAGGTGGAGAGAATGGCAGAAGCTGGCCCAAGGTCCAGAGCTGGCCAAAGATGCTGCTGATCTCTTACATAAGCATATTGAAGTTGCTAATGGCCAGCCTCTCATTTTGAAACAAGACCTCAGACATATGTGGGTCATATGGATGGATCTTATTCACTGTCTGCCTTGCCTTGCCGTTTAGTCAGATGAGTGAGCTTCTGACTAGAGCTGAGCAAAGGGTCTTGGTCAGATCCCATGAGCCTCCTGCGCCTCCACCAATGCATGGAGCAGGAGATGCGAAACCCGTCCCCACCTGTATCAGTTCTGCTACAGGTTTGACAGAAAATCGCCCTCAGTCACCAGCTACAGGCAGAACACCCCCCACACCACCACCTCTGCCATCTGCCTTGTCAACGTCCTCATTAAGAGCTTGGATGACTTCAACTCCTCCCCACCAGTGCCTCCCCCGCCCCTGCCCCCAGCCCCTCACTGCCTTGCAGGCTCCGGCCGTCCCCCCTCCTCCTGCTCCTCTCCGGATTGCCCCCGGGGTTCTCCACCCACCTCCTCCTCCCATCGCACCCCCTCGAGTGCAGCCCTCTCCACCGGTAGCCAGAGCTGCCCCTGTATGTGAGACTGTACCAGATCATCCACTCCCACAAGGTGAAGTTCAGGGGTTACCTCCGTCCTCCCCCCCCTCACCCCCCACCCTGCTGCCTCCATTCAGCTCCATCTACTGCCCCAGGTTCCCACGTTCCATTAATTCCTCCGTCACAAGTTGTACCTGCTTCTGAGCCAAAGCACCATCCATCGACCATACCTGTAATCAGTGACGCCAGGAGTGTCCTGTTGGAAGCAATACGAAAAGGTATTCAGCTACCCAAGTAGAAGAACAGCGTGAACAGGAAGCTAAACACGAGCGCATTGAAAATGACATTGCCCCTATCCTGTCTCACCGTATCGCTGTCCAATATAGTGATTCCGAAAATGATTCAGAATTCGATGAAGTGGATTGGTTGGACTAAGAAAAACACGTTGATAAATATAACAAAACTGAATGCACATGTCCTTTGTGGTGCTTGTTCCTTGAAAATGTTTGGCCATTCTAGTGTTCTGCTTTCTCTTCCTTATAATAACGCCTTTCCTTCATAATTTTTGATTTCTAAGAAAGATATTAGCATACATTTCAAACTAAATGTTTTACAGTGGCTTATCTTATTTTTTTTTCCTGAAAAGAGAATTTGGCCAAATAAACCACTCAGTATTAAGCATGGACAGTTGTTGTTAGAGTAGCAGATTCAGTTTTTTGATATATCTTAATTGTGTACTTCATGAATTTTAATTTAAAGAAAGCAACTGAGATTGAAATCTTGAGGGCAACTGTGTCTATTAATGAGCCTTATTCCATTTTATGGTATTTTGATAGGAGAAAAACTGCCTTGATTGTATGGATACACTCAGAAAGTCATTTAGCTTGTAGTATTGAATTCTCTTAAAGGAATGCTTGAGTTTTTAAAATTGTTTTATTATTTTTAAATACTTGCCTTATTTGGATGTTTAGCAGTACTCCCTTCCTACTTATATATTGTGTGATACAGTTTTGCTTGCCTATAGGAGTTTAAAATTTTTCCATGAGAAATACTCTGACTTAAACATACATGTAACTTACATAACTGTTAAGAATAACAGTCTGATTTAATAAATGGTTCATTTTAAAAGTTAAAAAAATAAAATTAAATTAAATAAATAAAAACACAAAGTTGAGATAAACTAAGATGTTGCCATGCTCAGGTACACAGGGACATGACTGTCACTGGTCATTTGAAGTTTTGGTTTCTTTTGTTTTTCCTTTTAAAGAAAAGTGAAAACAAACAGGAACCAAGAACCACAGAACTCAAACGAAGTCTCTATCAAGGCTTTTCTGAAGGGTAATGGTAGATTGATCACAGAATGAAAAATAAGGCAATCAAGTCAAGTTGTGATACAATTTGACTTAAAACACACACATACACACACACACACACACACACTCACATACACACACCAGCTATTTCTGCCTCTGCTTCCTACTACGCTCCATGAGGGTAGAAGCATAAAAGGTCTTAATATTTACCTAATGATTGAATAAACAAATGAGGGCCTATTATGTTCTAAGCACTACACTAGAAATTGGGGATCAAAATTGCAAAGGCTCCAGTGTCAAGAAATCCACGTATCATGGAGAAGCAGAAACAAGCAATTTCTATGTACAGTAGTCGTTCCCCTTCATCTTCGGGGATAAATTCCAACACCCTCAGTGGATGCCAGAAACCACAAATAGTACTAAGTCCTAAAGATGCTATGCATTAATTTATTTTCCCTTCACAACCGATAGAAGATTCGTTTTTACTGTAGATCTTAGCAATCTCAGCATACAATTTTTTTTTAAGTCAAGAGCTTTCACCTTTTCACTTAAAGGAAACACTTGACAGCTTCTTTGGCATATCCAATTATTTCATCACTACTCTTGTGCTGTGCGATCATTATTAAGTAAAACAAGGGTGACTTGAACACAAGCGCTGAGGTACTGTAGTAGTTGCTCTGATAACCAAGATGGCTCCTGACTGACTCACGGAACAAAGAGAGAATTCATATCCCAAGCAGGACAGAAAGGGATAGCTCGAGATTTCATCACACTTTTCAGAATGACACACAATTTAAAACATATACATTGTTTATTTCTGGAATTTTCCATTTAGCATTTTCTGACTGTGGTTGACCACTGGTAACAAAACTGCAGAATGTGAGACCATGGATATGGGGAGGACTGCTATGGTGTGACAAGCAACAGAAGTAATGCCAAGGTATAAAGATCGCTCAGAATGAGCTGTAATTAATATGGGTTGAGGAAAGGGGAAATGATGGAAAATTACATACGTGGAATATGAGCTTTCAGGGAGAAATAGGCATTCTCTAGGAAGGCAAAGACAAAAAGGCATCTGGACAGGGGAAATAGCATAGACAAAGGGAATAAGTAGTTTGATCTAGCTAGAGCATAAAATGTTAAGTTTCCCCCTGCAACCATGAGGCACAGGGCAAAGGAGAATGAAGTCCTAGGTGATATCAGTGTAGGAAGCAAGAAACAACTTGATGGTTGTATAATTCCGTGTTCTCCAGAGAAACAGAGCTAGTATATACATATACAGTCATGCATCATTAACAATGGGCTTACACTATGAGAAATGTGTCATTAGGCAATTTAGTTGTGTAAACATCATGGTGACTTACACAAACCTAGATGGTGTAGCCTACGACAAACCTAGGCTGTATGGTGTAGCCCATTGCTCCTAGGCTACAAATCTGTACAGTATGTGGCTGTTCTTAATACTGTAGGCAACTGTAACACAATGGTACTTGTGTATCTAAGCATATCCAAACATACAAAAAGTATAGTAAAATTGTAGTATTGTAATCTTATGGGACCACGATCAAACATGTGGTCAATCATCGACTGAAATGTCATTATGTGGTGCATGACTACATATATATAAATATGCAATATATAGTATATTTATATGCAATATATAATAGATGCATATCTACAATGTACATATAAATATATATTTATGTATGTGTGTATATATACACACATATACATACATATATACACACATGTGTGTACATATATACACATCAAGAGAAAGAGACTGATTATAGACATTGGCTTATTGATTATAAAAGCTGAGAGAGAAGTCCTATAATGTGCCACCAGTGAGCTGGAGGCCCAGGAGAGCTGGTGGTGTAATCTAGTCTCAATCCTAACTCATGAGAACCAGGAGCACCAGTGTCCAAAGGCAGGAAAAGACACATGTCTCAGCTAGAAAAGGGAAGAAAATCTGCCCTTCGTCCATCTTTTTGTCCTAGTCAGGCCCTCAGTGGATTGGCTAATGCCCAGGCTGGTGATAATGGATCTTCTTTACTCAGTGACCAATTGGAATGCTAATCTCTTCCAGAAACACCCTCATTGACACAACCAGATATAATGTTTTACCAGCTATCTGGGCATCCCTCAGCCCAGTCAAGTTGACAAATAAATTAACCATCACCATGATCAAGTTCAAGGGAGTTGGTGGGAAGCAAGGACCAGATGCAAAGCAAAGGGTCTTTAACAGAGGATAGACTAGATAGTGTAAGCGACCGTGTGCAGAATCATGAAGCAAATTTCTTGTACGAATTTATGTACAGGAGCTGAGAGCTGAGAATGTAGGGAAACAGCAGTAGGAGAAGTCATAGTTTTAATGGAATAGATGGGGTATGGAATTGTTATATGTGAATTTTGTGACAGGAAGGGAGGTCTCCCAGATCAAAGTAAAGCAGTCCAAATACTCTTTAGATTCCATTGGTCAACATTCTGTGGATAGGGATGGTAGATAGGTAAATGTAGACTTGAAGAAATTTAAACAGTATCTCTAAAACTGGCAGAAAAACAAAATTATAAACCAGGTGTTATGACATTTAGGGTGGGCTGAATCAGGATAAATCAGCATCGTGTCAGATCTGCACACAGTTGCCTTTGTGGATAAGACATATACCCCACCCTCAAAGAAGTGAACTGTAGGAATTATAAGGGCAAAAAGAGCAGGAAGCACTGCCTTCAATATCTGGAGTCTCTTGGGATGCATGGAAAATCCTTAATTGACGCTGAATAGGGAGAGACAGCTTCTACTCCTGAACTGAGGATGCCTTGTTCAGCACCACACAGAGCTCACTTGGCTAGATAGGATGTGGTCCATACACTCCTTTTTTCCCCCAAGTCTTACTTTACTTAACATTCATTCTTGTAAGGGGTTCTTAAAAACCAGTTTATCAGAGTTGGTAGGATTCAATGCTACAGACAGTGATTTAGAACTTCCCAGGCTAGAGGACCATGATGTGTGAATCATTGCTTTTCACTACGAAAGATCATGCAAAACGCTGGACATTAACCCACAGCCTCAGAGAATATCTTGCAAGTGAAGAATTCAGTGTGACTTGGGCCAGGCACAAAGATTTAGAACTAGGAGCAGGAGGATGACCCTGAGCAGCAGGGTATCAGCAAAAGGGAAACAAAGTCTCTGACCCAGGCTGTAGTGAACTTGGGGAGGAAGATACAGTCTGAGGTATCAGATTCCAAGGAGTGGGTAGAGCGCAAGAACCAGATAACAATGGAACTGAAGACCAGAAAGATTCCTGAGAGAGTGGAATGCAGAGAAGGAAGTCTGTTACAAAGACCTGTGATCTGGCCCAAGGACAACTTGAGAGCTACTTAGGGTGCTACTGGTTGAAGTTCCTTTCTCCTCTCCAGTCCCCCAAAACCTAAAAGGTTTCCATCACATATTTGAGGACTGAAAAGCAAACATTTATTTAAAAACCATCCTAAGAGATCTCACTAGAAAGATCTGGAACATGACATCAGAAATCTTTTAAAGCCAGCTCATGCCTGTAATCCCAGCACTTTGAGAGGCAGAGGCAAGAGGATTGTCTGCGTCCAGGGGTCCAATACCAGCCTGGGCAACTTGGAGAGACCGTCTCTACAGTAAATCAAAAAGTAGCCAGGTGTGGTAGCAAACGCCTGTAGTTCCAGCTACTTGGAAGGCTGAGGCAGAAGGATTACCTGGGCCCAGCATCATGTGGACATACTTTTGATAGGAGAGATGTTTCCTTCACTAGAGTGAAGGCAGCTCAAATGACACATTAACGTCTTATTCAAAAAAAAGAGAAGCAGGAAAATTCATAATGTGACTTCATCACATGCAGTGGTTTGGGGGGAAGAAGATGAGGATATCTGCCTTATTTCTCTTGCTAGAGCACACACTGGTTCTGGAACCTCAGCAAAGGTCCCTACAGACCATCGTGTCCTCTCTGACCCCTCAGTGCTGCTTGGGAAGGTACTACCTTTTCTTTGCATCATAAGTTGCTACGTAAATTATTCACAAAAGCAAAAAATTATAAAATTCCATGAAAGCTGTTTTGCGCTCTGAATGAATACATCCAAATATTATTTTAC